CCCGGCCCGAGGCCAGGCTTGACTTGTGAGAGTTTGGTCCACCAGGCTGTTGCTTGGAGCGGCCCTCAGGCCCACATATACCTGGTTGATGGGGTTCTGGGAGTTGTTCTACTGCCCAAGCCCGGCCCGAGGCCAGGCTTGACTTGTGAGAGTTTGGTCCACCAGGCTGTTGCTTGGAGCAGCCCGCAGGCCCACATATACCTGGTTGATGGGGTTCTGGGAGTTGTTCTACTGCCCAAGCCCGGCCCGAGGCCAGGCTTGACTTGTGAGAGTTTGGTCCACCAGGCTGTTGCTTGGAGCGGCCCTCAGGCCCACATATACCTGGTTGATGGGGTTCTGGGAGTTGTTCTACTGCCCAAGCCCGGCCCGAGGCCAGGCTTGACTTGTGAGAGTTTGGTCCACCAGGCTGTTGCTTGGAGCGGCCCGCAGGCCCACATACCCACCACAGCCCGGTTGGTCCGGCACTCATTGAAGGAAGCAATCTAGTTTCCTCTTGATGTCCACGGTTGTTCCGGCAATATTTCTTATGCTCGCTGGGAGGACGTTGAACAACCGCGGACCTCTGATGTTTATACAGTGTTCTCTGATTGTGCCGATGGCACCTCTGCTCTCTAGATTCTTCCAATCTACAGAAATGGTAAGAGAGAAGACACACTATATTACAAGCGGCCCAGTCGGGGCTTAGTACTTCTTAGCTCTCTCAAAGATTTTTATGATGTGCGATGTTAGTGCTATCGGTCTGTAATTTTTTACCTCTGCCTTATTTCCTCCTTTATGGAGTGGTGCTATCTCTGCTATTTTTAGTATGTCAGGGATAACGCCAGTATCTAGGCTTTGTCGCCACAGAATGTCGAGGGCCCGAGATAGTGGTTTTTTACAGTTCTTGATGAATATGGAGTTCCAAGAATCCGGGCCTGGTGCAGAGTGCATAGGCATACTGTTTATGGCTTCTTCAAAATCCAGTGGGGATAGGGCGACGTCTGATATATGATTTGATGTTGGTATCATATCCATGAAAAATTCATTTGGGTTATCAATCTTTAGTGCGTTCATTGGCTCGCTGAAAACAGAGTCGTACTGCTTCCTCAGTAACTCGCTCATTTCTTTGTTGTCATCAGTGAAAGTTCCATCTCCCTTTCGCAGGGGCCCGATACTAGATGTGGTTTTTGATCTTGATTTTGCATAGGTGATAAAATATTTCGGATATCTCTATTTCACTGATGGCCTTTTGCTCTCTTTGCCTCTCCTGGGTTTTGTATGATTCTTGTAGCTTGCGTTCAATTGTTTCTATTTCTCTACCTAACCTTCTTCGCCGTTCTTGAGATAGGGTGCGACTCTCAAGTTGTTCCGCGATTAATTTTCTTCGCCTATAGAGGGAACGACGTTCCCGTTCCAATCTTCATCTCTTCCTCTTTTTTTTAAGGGTACGCGGTTTGAACATATTTCTAGTGCTACTAAGCTTATTTTTTTTCCAGGCACTGGTTCAGGTTGGCATTTTCTAGCTGTTCTTCCCAGTTTATTTCTGTGAAGTCCTGGTTTATTTGCTCCCAGTTTATCTGTTTATCATTGAAGTTGAATTTGCTTAAATCTCCTCCACCGGGAATCGGGACTGGTTTTGAAGGTCCATTCCCCATGCTCGTCAGAACTTCAATTAAGGTGTGATCCGAGTAACAGGTATTTGTAATCATTGTGTTCCTGATCAATTCATCATTATTAGTGAAAATGAGGTCCAGTGTGTTCTCCTTCCTAGTTGGTTCAGGTCAGTAGGACCAGGTCCCAAATCTACACAGTAAAATAACAACGTACTGGAGTGAACGATATGGAAGAAAATGCAGAATAGAACCAGTGAAGAGTAGAGGTGTCATAGGCACAATCAGAGAACACTGTATAAACATCAGAGGTCCAGTGAAGAGTAGAGGTGTCATAGGCACAATCAGAGAACACTGTATAAACATCAGAGGTCCAGTGAAGAGTAGAGGTGTCATAGGCACAATCAGAGAACACTGTATAAACATCAGAGGGCCAGTGAAGAGCAGAGGTGCCATAGGCACAATCAGAGAACACTGTATAAACATCAGAGGTCCGCGGTTGTTCAACGTCCTCCCAGCGACTATAAGAAATATTGCCGGAACAACATCTTCCAGGTGTATATTATTTGGTATCTCTCCCGTCTGACTATCCTTTTTATCCTCTTTAATAGGTCTAACCCTGACCAGCCAATTTCTAACCCATACCCCACACCATTCACCCTGCAAAGTTCGGCAAGGCTAGCCCTGAACGTGTAGCCTCCGACAATTGTCACACACAAAGAGACTTTCTCACATGTATATAGACCAGTGGGGGTGGATGGCCGGCTATGCCCAGGTCTCTCCCACTTCCCACTTTCCAACTTTCAAAATTTCCCCCCCTCCCCCAGCATCCGCCCCCCCTTTTCCCCTCCTTCTCACCCCTTGAGGAGTAGAACTCCCTGAGCCTTCTACAAGGGTGGTTATCTTGAGATGATTTCAGGGCTTTAGTGTCCCTGCGGCCCGGTCCTCGACCAGGCCTCCACCCCCAGGAAGCAGCCCGTGACAGCTGACTAACACCCAGGTACCTATTTTACTGCTAGATAACAGGGGCATAGGAGTAAAAGAAACTCTACCCATTGTTTCTCGCCGGTGCCTGGGATCGAACCCAGGATCACAAGTCCAGTGTGCTGTCCGCTCGGCCGACCGGGTGAGTGTCCACTTTGTCCTGGTCCTTTAATACTTAATAAAGCAGATGATAATAAGGAAAATACTAATAAATGTAGCGAGAAATCCCGCTAACAAGATGAAGAGAGAATTATGTCAACGCGAAAACAGAGCAAATTGGAAAACAATTGGAGGGGAAACTAATAAAAACCTGGAAATTGTCACCAGATAACGTCTAGGAACAAGAAACCAATCCTCAGAGGGGAGAAATCCCCCTCCCTCCCACCCCCCGGAGAATTTTCATCCTCAGAAATCCTTATTCTTAAACCGACAAAGCCCTAAAAGATGAAGACGAATACAGGGATGAGAGAAAGATCTAAGGAGAAGGGAGACGAAACAGGAGTGGTTGAACAGGCCAAGAAATGATGGAGAAACACATACGAAAATGAGAAATAATACTGCGAGAGGAACTATAGAAACCGTCCACGGGTAACCCACAGGTAAGACAAAGGGGTAGAAGAGGAAATAGATGGAAAAAAATTGATTTACAGGAAAGTTAAAAAATTATTTTAGCAAAGCGACCAAACACAAGTGTAAACACCTACGAACCTGGGGCCAGATTCACGAAGCACTCACGCAAACACCTACGAACCTGGGGCCAGATTCACGAAAGCACTTACGCAAACACTTACGAACCTGGGGCCAGATTCACGAAAGCACTTACGCAAACACCTACGAACCTGGGGCCTGATTCACGAAGCACTTACGCAAACACCTACGAACCTGGGGCCTGATTCACGAAGCACTTACGCAAACATCTACGAACCTGGGGCCTGATTCACGAAGCACTTACGCAAACATCTACGAACCTGGGGCCTGATTCACGAAGCACTTACGCAAACACCTACGAACCTGGGGCCTGATTCACGAAGCACTTACGCAAACACCTACGAACCTGGGGCCTGATTCACGAAGCACTTACGCAAACACCTACGAACCTGGGGCCTGATTCACGAAGCACTTACGCAAACACCTACGAACCTGGAGCCTGATTCACGAAGCACTTACGCAAACACCTACGAACCTGGGGCCAGATTCACGAAAGCACTTACGCAAACACCTACAAACCTGGAGCCAGATTCACGAAGCAGTTACGCAAACACCTACGAACCTGGAGCCAGATTCACGAAGCACTTACTCAAACACCTACGAACCTGGGGCCAGATTCACGAAAGAACTTACGCAAATACCTACGAACCTGTACATCTTTTCTGAATCTTTGGCGGCTTTGTTTCCAATTATTAAACAGTTAATGAGCTCCGAAGCACCAGGAGGCTGTTTATAACAATAACAACAGCTGATTGGCAAGTTTTCCTGCTTGTAAACTGTTTAATAAATGTAACCAAAGCCGTCAAAGATTGAGGAAAGATGTACACGTTCGTATGTGCTTGCGTAACTGCTTCGTGAATCTGGCCCCAGGTTCGTAAGTGCTTGCGTAACTGCTTCGTGAATCTGGCCCCTAGTCTACTACTAAACGTCAACTTTCTTATTGGTGAAGAAGTCTCGGGGCTGTACAATGCAACCCGTTCTCGCACTTGCTTATAGTCAATATTTGGCTTATGGATAAGTGCATAGGTGACATATTAATTTATTGTGAATATTTGAGTTTACCTTTAAAAGCTGAATAGAAAACACCGATCTAACCTAACCTTCTTAGTATGTTAAAATATTACAATTAGTACTTAACGTAGACCTATATTGATATTACAGTTTTATAAAAAAAATAAAACTAAACTAAAATATTTAAATAAATTTTAAAGTAATTTAGGATATTGTCAAATTTTAAATAAAATCTCTATTGTTTAATAAAACTGAGAGGAAGAGTTAGTGCCGTGGAAAAAAATATGACTTGGCATGTCACATATGTACTTATTTATGAGCGAAATATTGACTATAAGAAATAAGTCATATATTTACTGTCTTGTGCGAGAGCGGGTTGTACAATGTGCTCGAACACTCGTCCTTAGCCCATCCCTCAGACGCATGTTCGAGCCTTCAATATTTGTAGTCATCAATATGATTTGCCTGTACATGCTTGGAGTAGATGAAGGGTAGATGAAGGGTTGATCAAGGGTAGATGAAGGGTTGATGAAGGGTAGATGAAGGGTTGATGAAGGGTAGATGAAGGGTTGATAAAGGGTAGATGAAGGGTAGATGAAGGGTAGATGAAGGGTAGATGAAGGGTAGATGAAGGGTTGATGAAGGGTAGATGAAGGGTAGATGAAAGGTAGATGAACGGTAGATGAAGGGTAGATAAAGGGTACTTACAGGTCCCTGGTGGTCGCGGGGAGACAATGCGGCCAGATATCCCTGAGGGAAGTTATCCTGAGGTGATCATGACAGGCGACCTTGACTTGTGTCACCCCGATCACACCCTCCACCAGCTGCGTGATCTTACACAGGTCCTGAGGACAGGTGTAGGGGGTCCGGGTGGCTACCCCCCCACCCTCTTCCTCCTCCCCCTCCTCCTCTGCCGCCCACACCTGCCGCCCAGTACTCTGGGTGGTGGTAGTAGTGGAAGAGGGGACACGGGCGGGCCTCTGAGCCCGCCCAACACCCACCAACAAAAGCACCAAGAGGAAGAGGAGGGCGGGCACCCATGCTGGGGCGTGTATGGGCGGGCGTGGGCGGGTGGGCGGCTGCTTCATGGCCAGGGGTCGGCGGGGGCTCGCTCACCCATAGTCACCACCTGAAACAAACAAACAAACAATTAAACAACACCTCCACTAGAAGTCACGAAGTGTAAACAAAACATTACAATCTCCTTAGACTCCAGTCATGTGTACTCACCTAGTTGTGCTGGCGGGGGTTGAGCTCTGGCTCTTTGGTCCCGCCTCTTATCTGTTATCTGTTCCACGTGTTGCTGTGTAGAGGCCAGTGTGAAGGTCTGTGTACTACACATGGGTTCATGGTGCTGTCAGTCACCTTGTAAGATACATGTGTCATGGGCATACATGTCTCCCGCCTCTTAACACCTCAGACGTCTATGTATCCCCCCCCCCATAAGTGTCACGTCACTATGACGTCATGATGAGCGAGCGAGCGACAGAGAGACAGACAGAGACAGAATATGATAACCAAACCATACACGAGAAGATGGAGAAACCCAGACGTTTCGGTCCGTCCTGGACAAGACTTGACAATGGTCCAAGATGGACCGAAACGTCGTAGTTGTCTCCTCGTCTTCTGACGTGTGGTCATTATATCTTCAGCCCCGTTATTGTGACTCATCGTCTGTGAGAGAGTAAGGGAAAAAACGAGAGGAGAGAGAAAGCAGGAGAGAGAGAGAGAGAGAGAGAGAAGAGAGAGAGAGAGAAAGTGAGAGAGAAAGTGAGAGAGAGAGAGAGAGAGAGAGAGAGAGAGAGAGAGAGAGAGAGAGAGAGAGAGAGAGAGAGAGAGAGAGAGAGAGAGAGAAAGTGAGAGAGAGAGAGAGAGAGAGAGAGAGAGAGAGAGAAAGTGAGAGAGAGAGAGAGAGAGAGAGAGAGAGAGAGAGAGAGAGAGAGAGAGAGAGAGAGAGAGAGAGAGAAAGAGAGAGAGAGAGAGAAAGTGAGAGAAAGTGAGAGAGAGAGAGAGAGAGAGAGAGAGAGAGAGAAGAGAGAGAGAGAGAGAAAGTGAGAGAGAGAGAGAAAGTGAGAGAGAGAAAGTGAGAGAGAGAGAGAGAGAGAGAGAGAGAGAGAGAGAGAGAGAGAGAGAGAGAGAGAGAGAGAGAGAGAGAGAGAGAGAGAGAGAGAGAGAGAGAGTGAGAGAGAGAGAGAGAGAGAGAGAGAGAGAGAAAGAGAGAGAGAGAGAAAGAGAGAGAGAGAGAGAAAGTGAGAGAGAGAGAGAGAGAGAGAGAGAGAGAGAGAGAGAGAGAGAGAGAGAGAGAGAGAGAGAGAGAGAGAGAGAGAGAGAGAGAGAGAGAGAGAGAGAGAGAGAGAGAGAGAGAGAGAGAGAGAGAGAGAGAGAGAGAGAGAGAGAGAGAGAGAGAGAGGTGAAGAGACAGGAGGAGCAACAAGGAGAAGACCCAGACAGTAGTCCAAGTACAAATCACAAAACTGGAGTATTATCTTGAGCCCAACACACAGAGAAGGCATTTTTAACGAGGTTATCTTGAGATGATTTCGGGGCTTAACGTCCCTGCGGCCCGGTCCTCGACCAGGCCTCCTTTTTGTTACACATCCCCAGGAAGCAGCAGCCCGTTGCCGCTTTCTAACTCCCAGATACCTATTTACTGCTAGGTGAACAGGTTCATCTGGGTGAAAGGAACTCTGCCCATTTGTTTCCGCCTCCGCCGGGGATCGAATCCGGAACCTAAGGACTACGAATCCCGAGCGCTGTCCACTCAGCCGTCAGGCGCCTGGCTACATAGCTACATATAACAGCTACCAACTGGGAAGCAACTCATACCTCTCAGTTCCGGGACCAGTCTGGTGGCATACCACTGAATCTCCTCTAACTTAGTCTCGTGTTTAACTGGGTATGGACTCCAGGCTGGAGCTGCATACTCCAGAATTGGTCTGACATAAGTGGTATACAGGGTCCTGAACGATTCATTACACAAGTTTCTAAAAGGTAGTTCTTATGTTGGCCAGTCTAGCATATGCCGCTGATGATATCCTTTTGATGTGGGCCTCTGGGGACAGGTTCGGTGTGATATCAACCCCCAAATCTTTCTCTCTATTTGACTCTTGCAGGATTTCACCTCCCAGATGGTACCTTGTGTTCAGCCTCCTGCTCCCTTCGCCTAATTTCATTACTTTACACTTTCCTGAGTTGAACTTCAGCAGCCATTTTCTAGACCATTCCTCCAGTTTGTTTCCCTCCAGATGCTGTACGAGCCTTTTCCTCACGATCTTCTCCATCACCTTGCATGGTATACAAGTTAGGGAAACTGGCCTGTAGTTCAGTGCCTCTTGCCTGTCACCCTTTTTGCATATTGGGACTACATTAGCTGTCTTCCAACTTTCCGGAAGGTCTCCTGTTTCCAGTGACCTGTTATACACCATAGAGAGTGGCACACTTAGTGCTTCTGCACCTTCCTTTAGTATCCACGGTGAGATTCTGTCAGGCCCAACAGCCTTTGTCACATTCAGCTCCAACAGATTCCTCTTGACCTCATCACTGGTGAGGTCAAATTCCTCCAAGATTGTTTGGTTTGCCTCATTTAGTGCTTGTTCTTCTATGAAGACTTCCTGGAATATCTTGTTGAGCTCTTCACACATCTCCATGTCATTCTCTGTATCTGTTCTCCCCTTTTCTCAGTTCCATCACTGTGTGTGTGTACTCACCTAGTTGTGTTTGCGGGGGTTGAGCTCTTTCTCTTTAGTCCCGCCTCTCAACCATCAATCAACAGGTGTACAGGTTCCTGAGCCTATTGAGCTCTGTCATATCTACACTTGAAACTGTGTATGGAGTCAGCCTCCACCACATCACTGCCTAATGCATTCCATTTGTCAACCACTCTGACACTGAAAAAGTTCTTTCTAATATCTCTGTGGCTCATTAGGGCACTCAGTTTCCACCTGTGTCCCCTAGTGCGTGTGCCCCTTGTGTTAAATAGACTGTCTTTATCAACCCTGTCAATTCCCTTGAGGATCTTGAATGTGGTGATCATGTCCCCCCTAACTCTTCTGTCTTCCAACGAAGTGAGGTTTAATTCCCGTAGTCTCTCCTCGTAGCTCATACCTCTCAGCTCGGGTACTAGTCTGGTGGCAAACCTTTGAACCTTTTTCATTTTAGTCTTATGCTTGACTAGATATGGACTCCATGCTGGTGCCGCATACTCCAGGATTGGTCTGACATATGTGGTATATAATGTTCTGAAAGATTCCTTACACAAGTTTCTAAAGGCCGTTCTTATGTTAGCCAACCTGGCATATGCTGCTGCTGTTATCCTTTTGATATGAGCATCAGGGGACAGGTGTGTGTGTGTGTGTGTGTGTGTGTGTGTGTGTGTGTGTGTGTGTGTGTGTGTGTGTGTGTGTGTGTGTGTGTGTGTGTGTGTGTGTGTGTACTCACCTAGTTGTGCTTGCGGGGGTTGAGCTTTAGCTCTTTGGTCCCGCCTCTCAACCGTCAATCAACAGGTGTACAGGTTTCTGAGCCTATTGGGCTCTATCATATCTACACTTGAAACTGTGTATGGATTGTGTGTGTGTGTGTGTGTGTGTGTGTGTGTGTGTGTGTGTGTGTGTGTGTGTGTGTGTGTGTGTGTGTGTGTGTGAGAGTGAGAGAGAGAGGAGGGATAATGCTAACGCCATCTGTTGACCGCACCTGACCCCATTTTCTGTTCCCCGGTGGAAGGTTGCGGTCATACTGAAACAGGTGTAGTTTCCTTCTTATTATTCTATTGTCTTTACTCACAAGTGATGCGAGTAATTCCTTTGAGAATGCAAGGCTTGGGAACAAGAAAGGCCTGGACCCGTATTCACGAAGCAGTTACGCAAGCACTTATGAACCTGGGGCCAGATTCACGAAGCAGTTACGCAAGCACTTGCGAACCTGTCCATCTCTTCTCAATCTTTGGCGGCTTTGTTTACAATTATTAAACAGTTAATGAGCTCCGAAGCACCAGGAGGCTGTTTATAACAATAACAACAGTTGATTGGCAAGTTTTCCTGCTTGTAAACTGTTTAATAAATGTAACCAAAGCCGTCAAAGATTGAGGAAAGATGTACACGTTCGTAAGTGCTTGCCTAACTGTGTCGTTAATCTGTCCCTGTTACGAACCCGGATCCAGCGTCCGAGCCCGGAGCAGTGACGACCGCGCCATCTGTGGGTCAGCTCCCGAAACCCCCTCCAAACGGACGACGACACCTGGTGAGGACGACGTGTACTAGCTACGAGGGCCAGTTTCCAGTCCCGTTCAGCACTCAACACAGCCGCTGCTGACCTTTGGTGAGGTGGTGCTCAGACACCAGCGCCATCTATGGAGTGGATAGGTGGGCGTTTGTGTCTGAGCCTGTAAGTGAGGTGCCTTAGTGTGTCCCAGTTATTGATGACGTGTCTGCTTACAGAGTCGACCTGGGACTGCTGTGATGGAAGTTGAGAGAGTCTACCCAAGGCAGCCGTCTCCATACCTTGTGCTTTGCTGCAGCAGCTGTGAAGTCGTCCCCCCCGGAAGAACACTGTAGTGTTACCCTGTCAGTGGAGTGGCAGTAGAAGGATTACCCGGGACCGACTGCTGGAGACGATTATCCACTGGGGTATTGAGGACAGGAGAGTGATTTCTGGTATCACACGAGGCTCCTGTCTAGGGCGTTACCCTAATATCGTTCGTGGAGTGGCCTGACCAGCGTTGCGGGTCCGGAACCTGCCAGCAGACCTGCTGGACTTGTGGTTGGCGGCCTCCACGGTGGTGCCCCCAGTGGACCTGTGTTTTGGCTGACCTGTGGCCAGGGTAGGCTCAGCTTCTCAGAGGATTCGTTGTGAGGCCACGAAAAAGCACCGAGGACTTAGCACCGAGAGCCTGTATCCAGAGTCTTCAACAGAAGACGATTGTGTATTTCCCCTGTACAGTGTTAATACCCCTCCCCCTGTGCACTCTTATATATATATTATTTATTTGGTGATGGTAACAATTATAGTCTTAAATTCTTAACTTTCTTTCCCTTCCCCCTTTAAGTTTCTTGCGTCACGGATCACATCCCTTGAAAGCCACTACTGGCTTGGGGTCGGATAAAACCTCTAACAACATCAGAGTAAGAACCC